TTGTGCGGGGAGAAGGGTGTAACAATGAATGAATGGAATCCCAAAATCTCTGTAGGTGTTCATTGAAATGAAAAATAAACAACCTAAATTTAAAAAAAAGAGAGATATCTAAAGAGCACTTCAGTAACAAGTAAATGAGCTTATTCGTGTTTTAATTCTTTTTCTAGTTAAAGAATATACTTCATCTTTACATTTTATATATATTTTGAACTTTATGATAATTCATTACGCTTAAAGGTCATACCAGCATTTCCTTTTTAAAAAATTACTATACTCTGTCCAGGGGATATTGTCACATAACGATTCTTCGGCTAAATCAGTTTTCTATTCTTCCAATGGAACGTCTAAGGGGAAAAGGCAAATTGTAAATAACATTCAAAATAGATGAATCTGTGTTCCCAAATAATATTAACAATTGTTTGTTCTACTTTTTGTAGGATCCAACTGGAATATTCTCATTGGAGAAAACCATTGGCCTTGGTACTTATGGCAGAATCTATTTGGTAAGTGGAATTAATTTTAATTAATAAGTGGTATTGATTTTTCATTTTTAAATCTTAACAATAACTGTGAGTCATAACATCACACTGCAAGTCAAATAATGTAACATACAAGTATCTCTTCCTGAGACATGAATTAAATAAAAACAGCACAACATCTATAAGAATTATTATTCATTACGACAAAAGGAAAGGTCAAATCTCTAAAGAACCAAATATAAGATCTAACATTAACTAGTGGAAAGGTAATAAAATTACCAATGAAGGGGAAAAATAACTAATTCAAATAATATCTGATCAAATGAAGATATAATTTCATTATATATTATATATAATGATATATACATATAATATATGCATATATTTATGTATAAATTACTTGCTTCCTCCCCTTCTCTAATATGGGGAATTGCCAGCAACTCTGCGGGAGGGAGATAAGCAATCAACTCCCCATGTAATTTACTGCCTCTGAAAACCCACTTGAGGGTCAGCTATTAATTAGTCCCAATTGATGGCACACAACAACAACAATCTTTTATAAAAGTTTTCTATAAATTCAGTATTCACCTTCACAGGCAGTATCATGATGGGTGGAGAGGAAATTTAAGCTGTCAACAGCTCTATCTTGCTTGGATCCACAATTAAGACCCTTGGAACGAGAAGTCAGGAAATAAGGAGATGCATTCCACCAGGAAAATCTGCAAATAGGGACCTTTCCAAATTATTTAGGAGTAGTGATGTCAGTTTGAGGACTAAAGTGCTTCTGATTCAGGCCATGGTCTTTCTGATAACTTGCTATGCATCTGAGAGTTGGACAATGAATAAGGATGACAGAAGAAGAATTGATGCCTTTGAGCTGTGGTGTTGGAGAAGAGTACTGAACATTCCATGGATGGCCAAGAGAACAAACAAATATATCTTGGAGATAGTACAGCCAGAATGCTCTTTGGAGGCAAGAATGATGAGGCTTCACCTCACATACTTTGGACATGTTGCTAGAAGGTGCTATTCCTTGGACAAGGACATGATGTTGGGAAGAGTGGAGAGTCAGCGAAGTACAGGAATACCCTCAACCAAGTGGATTGACACAGTGACTGCTGCAATGGACTCTTGTGTGTCAGGAAGTGTAAAGATGGCACAAGACAGGACTGGCTTCAGATCTTTTGTTCATAGGGTCACTGTGAGTCGTGCTCGACTCGACGGCACCTAACAACAACAACAACAATTTTTGTTTTAGATTGACCAAAGATCTTCTACGTATTGTTTATACACAGACATTCTACTGTATGCCCAGAGGAAGAATAGCCTGTCCCATAAGATTGAGAAAATATCAATTCCCCATATTATAGAGTGTGGAGAAGTAGTCAAAGTGACCAGGCTACCAAAATTTTACATCTTGGAAACTACATTTGACCAAAAGAGTCTTTTCTAATTCATATACCTAGATTTGAGGCAGTAACTTTAAAAGTTACACAAAAAATACATTACAGCTTCCCTCTCTCACTGTTGTCAAGTAGAAACTGATTCATAGCTGATGTTTCAGCAGGTTTTCAGGAGGCTGTGAGTTATATAAGAGGAGATCTTTCTCCATGGGCACCACTGGTTGATTTAAATTGGTAAAGAGGCACTGCTTGTAAGCCAGCAGCACAAGTCCCTATGGACTAGGCCATGAGAACTCCTTATAGCCTAATAGTATTACTAATATCATGCAGAGGTAACCTGTGGTTGCTGTGATGCTAAACAGTGTGACACTGATGTGTCAAATGCAATAATGTTTACCTGTGGTGGACAGTGTTTGTTGGAGCTACCCAATCAAAACAATCTAGGAAGCAGGAGTGACATCCATGTCCAAAATAGCTTGCCCCTAGAAACTCTATGAACTTAGAGAAATGAAAGTTACACAAGTGTTCAGGTCTTTTGTTCATAGGGTCGCTATGAGTCATCTACAACTCAATGGCACTTAGCAACAACAAAATTATGCAGAAAGGCCTTAAAAGTAGAAAAACTTTGAGTGACTATATAGAATATGTGAGAATAAAGATAATTAGTGGCAAAAGTGTTTGCCAACTATTTTGATCTTACTGTATGCAAATAAGGTGTACATCTACCTCAACTATATCACAGACGGGATTGTTAGTTTACATTTGTGTAATCTGGATCAGTTTTGCCACCTTATATTATAAATTGGAACCCTTAATCACTGTTGGTGGCAGTGTAAAATGATGCAACCACTATGGAAGGCAGTATGGTGATTTCTCAAAAAGTTGGAAATAGAAATATAATTTTACCCAGCAATTCCACTGCTGGAAATATATCCTGAAGAAACTAGAACTGCCACCCAAGCAGATATATGTATACCCATGTTTATTGCTGCTTTGTTCACCATAGCAAAGAGTTGGAAACAACCCAAGTGACCATCAACAAATGATTTGATAGAAAAGATCCGGTATGCTACAATTGAAAACCAAGGAACTCATGAAATATTATACAAAAAAGGTGATCCTGGAGGACATTATGCTGAGTGATATATCTCAGTTACAAAGGGACAAATACTTCGTTATGCCACTGTAATAAAGCAAGACTGACATGAGGGTTGGGTGGAAACTAAGAAAAGAGGGGATAAATAATGTATACTGCATGGAAACAGATGATGGGGAAAACTGTTTGAAAGGAATATATAATTAGGTATTATTTTCACGACAATGAGAGCTGTGTGGTGGAGTGACTGGGGAGGGGGATTTTATAATAATGAAAGTATTTTTTTTCTTTTCAAAGAGAAAAAACTGATGGAAGGGGTGGGCGGGGAGAAAATGTGCAACAATTATTGAATAGAAATTCAAAGTCTATGATCTTTTATTAAAATTTCAATTAAAAAAAGGGCAGAAAAAAGTTTCTATATCAAAGTTACAGAAACCATGACTCTACACATATTTCAATGATTAAGGGGTATGAATGTGTGTGTGTGCGCACATGTGTGTGCATTCTTATTATTATAAAGAAATATAGAGCTCCTCTACCTCTAGATTTTAGAAACAAAACATCAGTATAAAATTAAATAACAAGTAACTTTAAGTTAACTATCAGAACCTGGTTGCCATAAAAAATTAAGAAAAGCCAAGAGAGTGAAAAAGGTAAGTTGTGGATGACATTTTTCTTTCTGGAAAAATTCAGATTTTTTTTCAGGTATAGTATGGTTGGAATCAGGAGTGGCATCCTCTGGAAATTCTATGAACTTTGATAAATGATGGTAGTTCTAGAAAGGCTTCAGGCCTTTATGAGTCATGCTTGACTTGAAGGCAATCAACAACAACAACAATACATGTCTCCTAATCACTACCACAGTCAAGATTTTTAATATCAATCTTATTAAATGAATCAAATCTACTCTAAAATAAAAAGAGGTTTGGTATAGCAGTGGTAAAAGTGCTGGACTGCTGACCAAAATGTGCCTTTGTGAGAAAAAAGATCTGGCGATCTGCTTCCATAGATTCCAAACCAAGTAAAACAAATCAACTACTGTGGAGTCAATTCTGACTCTTGGCAACTCTCTACCATGTTTCCTAGGCTATAGATCTTTATGAGATGAGACTGACCATCTTTTTCTCAGGGTGGATAAAACTGCCAACCTTTTCTTTAGCAAAACATATGCTTTTATTTGTTAGTGTACTCTTTCTTGTAAATAACTTCCTCTAAAATTTCTTAAAGTACATGGTAGTGAATAATCTATCTCTGTATGGGAAAAATCCACTTGTGTGGCTGTGTTTTGTTTTTGCTGCTGGAGTATTTATCATGCTTGGAATTCTCTGAGTCTCTTGAATTTGTGGTTTAATGTATTTAATCATAATTGGAAGAGTTTATTAATTTCTATCTCTTCAAATACCAATTCTGCTCTACCCTCTTCTGGAAATTTAATTTCATATGTTAGGCAATTTTATGTTAGTAAGAAAGAAATGGAACCCATAAATATTGACATACTAGGTATTGGCGAAATGAGATGGCTTTGCATGGGACATTTTGAAACAGATGATTATATGATTTACTATGCCGGGGATGAAAAGGTGAGAAAGAATGGGGTTGGTTTCATAATTAAAAAGTCATTTCTAGATCCATCCTGAAATACAATGTGGTGAGCGACAGGATAATATCCATACACCTACAAGGAAGTACAATGAATACTACTTTAATTCAAATATATGCGTCAACAAATAGAGCCAAAGAGGAGGAAATAGAAGATTTCTACCACCTTTTGCAGTCAGAAATTCATCAAACATCAAACATGCAATCAAGATGCATTGATAATAATGGGCGACTGGAACGCAAAAGTCAGGAACAGGGAAGAAGGATCAATAGCTGGAAAATACGGGCTCGGTGAGAGAAATGAGGCTGGAAATAGAGTGATAGAGTTCTGCACATTCAATGATTTATTCATTGCAAATACCTTTTAGAAAAAACATAAACGCAGGCTATACACATGGATCTCACCTGATGGCATGCATAGGAATAAAATAGATTACATTTGTGGAAGACTCGGTGGAGAAGCTCAATATCAGCAGTGAAAACCGGGCTGGGTACTGATTGTGGGACAGACCATCAACTACTCATATGCAAGTTCAAGCTGTAGTTGAGGAAAATTAAATCAAGTCCACAGGAACCAAAATTTTATCTTAAGTCTATCCCACTCAAATTTCAAAACCATCTCAGAAACAGGTTTGAGGCCTTGAGCACCAATGAGCGTAGACCAAATGAGCTCTGGGAGGATATCAAGAAAATCGTCCGTGAAGAATGCAAAAGATCATTACAAAGGCTGAAAAAGAAAAGACCAAGAAGGATGTCAGA